CTAAGACATAACTGCATGGTAACCCATTTAGTTTTCTGCCCTGCAACAAGTATGTAACCAATTATATGATAGCATGTACTTAATTGACTGCACATGTAACCAATCATGTAACAAGCATGTACTTCCTCATATAAGCAAATAAATGAGGAACTCAGAAGACACTCTGGGTCACTCACCTCGAGGAGATTCCTGCGTGTGTCTTCTTTTCTGGCTTGTCGTCGCTTGCCAGAACTCATGGGTGGCCCACCTTGATTGTGGCAAACCACAAAAGCCACAGTCATGCTCATATGAACGCAGTCATATTGTAAAGCACTTTGTTTAAACACTGTCAATAGGCCCTGGGGACCTCTTTTCCATTATTTCTGGTTATGTCCTTGGTCAAAGGGACTGGGTCACCTCGTTTTGCAAACTAACACAGGGGAAGGGGGTCTCACTACAAGGCAGCCATTGCAGGTGGGTTTCTTCCTTCTGATGCCCTCAGTTTGGGTCCAGACACAAGCCTTTGAGTCTCTTTTGAAAAAGATGTGAACTCTTTGCACTTCGAGGGGGGGGTCACATATGTTCTGCTTTGATGAAAGCACCTCAAGTGTGGAATCAAACTGATTTAGCAAGAGAAATGGCTGTTGTTTTACCAAGAGACTGATAAGCCCTTGACAACACCACTTCCTAACCGAAGCCAGCCACACCACAATGCTTTTCCTTTCATTTTTTGCAGCTCCAGATCCCTTCTATGCTGTAGAGTGGTGGCATGAGAGACTCTGGGATTGATGCATTTTACCCTTGTAGTTGTCAGGCTACGGAAGCGCTTCTGAAGGTCTGCCAGTGTTCTCTTGGTCTTCAGCCAAACAGTCTCCTCCCTGGCTCCTCTGTCCAGTTCCCCTCCTCCTCCTGCTCCAGAGGAAATCCTGCAGGGCCGGCTTCTTCTAGTTCTGGGAAGTGGGAGAGGCGTTCTGGGCCGGCTTTGTGGCCTGTGGGAAGGTGGGTGGAGAGGGTTTGCGACTGAGCGAGGGCCACCATCGTATGAAGGCTTTGTGTGGCAAAGGATGAGAGGCAGAACAGATCTAGTGTTTTAGTATTCTGTCTTGATGAAATTTGAGCTACTGAAGCCTTCAGAGTAAATGCCCACATTTGCACATGTCCCCCCAGCATATGGGAGAAGTCTTGCTAAAGGTAAGTGGGGAGCACCCTGCTAAACTGTGAAGCTGCCTCCTCCCACGGCAGCAGGAGTCTGTGTCTGGTCACATTCCTCAGGACACCCCTCCTTGGTACCTTTGAGTTTATGCAGCAGAAGACACCCCTCTCTTGCATCTGCCCCCCCTTCCATGCTACACCTAGGTCTGAATCCTTCGGTCACAGAATCCCAATCCCTTCCTAGACTAGCTCCTCTTCTACCAAGCCTGTTTGCTAGGCCTTGGTGGAAGCAGCTCCCTCTGCAGGGCCTGGGCTACTCGGGCACAAGGCTGCTCTGTGCATTGCCCAGTTGGACCTGCTTGCTAGGCAGCAGGAAGCCCAGGAGGCGTTGAAGGCAGCCTCAGCTCCTGCAAATGAAGAGGGGTGATGGCACAGCCCTGGTGCCCTTGTGGCCTCAGGAAGCACACCTTCCACCCATCACAGTCTCCAGGTGACACGTAAGCTGCTGCAGCTGCTGTTGTTCCTGGCTGGGCGAGAAGCAGGTGGGGCTCAGAAGGCCAGCCCAAGGCACCTCTGCCTCTGGCAGCAGCAGCAATAGCAGCACAAAGGTGAGTGGCTAGCTCCTCTTGGGTGCTTTGCTGCAGGGTGTAGAGGGATGGGATGGGGAGGCCCACTTAGGGAGAGAAAACTGCTGCCTTCACCAAGAGAGTTTCAGCCTGGCTACTTTTTGTAAAGCAGCAGCCGAGGGGGGAGGTGGCAGCAAAAGCAACGTCCTGGGCCTGGGGTCTCTCCTGGATGCCCCCAGCTCAGCCATGAAGCCAGGGTGGTGGAATGACCAGGGAAGACTGAGGAAGGTGCCAAGCAGCGGAAGCGAGCAATGCCCTATGCCAGACATGTCCAAAGTCCGGCTCGCGGCATCCGGCCCTCGAACAGCCCTCCCTGCTCTATATAAATGCGGCCCTCCGGCAAGTCCCATGAGAGAGACAGAGGCACTTGCACTTCTGTCTGTCTCTCTCTCTCATGGGACTTGCCCCCTCGCAGGGCTCCTCATTGGCCCTGCGCCTTGTTACCCCGCCCCCAGCCTCGCCCCCCCCAGCCCTGTCGGTGAGCGCCCGGTGAGCGCCCGGCACTTCTGGAGGCAGCGTCGCCAGGCCTCCCCCCCTTGCGCGAGGCTTCTGGCGTTCCCCCTCGCGCCTGGCTATGGCGGCTCGGGGTTTCCCGTCCCGGGCACGCCAGGCAGCGCTGCAGGGAACGG